TTAGTACATTAAACATGTTCACGTGTTTTCTTTAGACTACATCATGAGCCAGGGTAAAGACAATGCACGACTTAAGAGCTACAAGAACAAGTCCCTCAACACAGATGAAATGAGAAGGAGGAGGGAAGAGGAAGGCTTACAACTTCGTAAGCAGAAAAAGGATGAACAGGTCAGTCTGTCATGAGTAGACTTAAAATGTTCCAAAATAAAGAGACTCCCGCAGCAGGACTACTCTTTTACATAAAGTAACTAATTATTCGAGGTGTTGATTTGAAAACAATATTGTTCTATTTCAGCTTTTTAAGAGAAGAAATGTCGCCACAGTGGAGGATGATGGAATCTTTGAGGATGATGGCATGGCTGACAGTGGCTATCTGGAGTCCCAGGCGAACAACATGGACCCACTTTTGGTCAGAACAATAATAATTTATTAGAAAAAAGGTTTCTTACTCACACCAAATCCATAAATGTTGTCTGTTTGTACAGGGTGGGGTGATCTCAGAGGATATGATTCAAATGATCTTCTCCACTTCCCCTGAGCAGCAACTAATAGGTACCCAGCGATTTCGGAAACTCTTGTCTAAAGGTAAAAACTTATTTAACTGAAATGAAGTTTTAACATATTATACATAAAAATAAATTTATTTTGGTGGTGTGCACTTGATTGCACATTTTTACATTATTTAATTTAGCATACGACATTTGTAACAAATTCTTACTGCAGTTTATGATAATGCAGATGCTTTGAGCTCACAATCCTACTCATGGGTTTCAGTTTTTTGTTCAGCAACATTTTGAGGGCTGATTTTTTTATTTCTTTTTTCCTCCATTCAAAAGGCATATTTAGTTTAAAGTTGTTAATTGCTATGGCAATGGTCCCAATTTCTCATTATTCTAAAACCTCTGTTGTTGTTGTTGTTGTTGATATTGTTATTATTATTTATGTAATATACATAGTTTTTCTAATTTGTTTATTAATTTTGCAACAGAACCAAACCCACCCATTGATGAAGTAATTGCAACTCCAGGTGTGGTGGAGCAATTTGTTGAGTTTCTAAAAAGAAAAGAAAACTGTACATTGCAGGTAACAATGACATATATATATGGTCCCTTGGTTGTAAAGAATTTGTTATTTAAATAAATATATACATTTTAAAGTTTGAGGCAGCGTGGGTTTTGACCAACATTGCATCTGGTACATCACACCAAACACGTGTGGTTATTCAAGCCGGAGCTGTGCCCATTTTTATAGAGATGCTCAGCTCAGACTTTGAAGATGTACAGGAACAGGTATGGGAACTTTTGTGTCATAGCACCTAATGTCCAATTATAGTTTTTTTTTTTTTTACATACCAGTATTAAACAAAAAAAAAATTTTTCTCCTTAGGCTGTGTGGGCATTAGGAAACATTGCAGGTGACAGCACAGAATGCAGAGACTTTGTCATAGACTGCAATATCCTACCTTCCCTGGGGCAGTAAGACAACATTTTATAATACATTACTTTCAAGTTTGATTCTACCCACACAATTTATGTAGTTAGTAGTTGTTGTATTATACTGTCCCCAAGACATAGCTACTCATAGCTTTTCAATTTTTCAGGCCTAACATAAATAAATCTTTGCAGATTATTGGCCAAACAGAATCGTCTTACAATGATGAGAAACGCTGTGTGGGCGCTCTCAAACCTCTGCCGGGGCAAGAATCCACCTCCAGATTTTTCCAAGGTATGTGGTCAATATAAACACTGACTGTGATTACATGCACACTCGAAATCTGATTATTATCAGATTCTTGGAGTAAATAGATTAGAAAATTAGAAATGTAAACAACCAAATCTGATCCACGTAATCATGATTTCTTCATAATTATGATCCTTCTGATTACTTACATAAGATTTAACAGTTTGCATTAAAATTTTCTTAAAGGTCCAGAAATCAGATGATAATCAGGTTTTGGCGTGCATGTAAAGATAACCACTGTTATTCACAGGTAATTTTTCTCCTTGTGCAAATTGTGCTTCTCTTTATTTTTCAGGTCTCTCCTTGCCTCAGTGTACTATCTTGGTTGCTGTTTGTCAATGACACTGACATACTGGCTGATGCCTGCTGGGCTCTCTCCTATCTTTCTGATGGCCCCAATGACAAAATTCAAGCTGTTATTGACTCAGGAGTCTGTTGCAGGCTGGTGGAGTTACTCATGTAAGTCTTGTACAACTTTAAATCCATGATTTGTATGTTGTGATAATCATCATAATTGTTCCATATATTACATTACATTTAATTATCGTTTATAGGCACTCGGACTACAAAGTAGTATCTCCAGCTTTGCGAGCAGTTGGAAACATAGTAACCGGAGATGACTTGCAGACACAAGTAACAGCCAATGTTATATTTAATATGGAAGGCCGCAACATTTTTTAAACAATTCATAAAAATCCTTTTTACAGGTTATACTGAATTGTTCAGCGTTGAAGGCTCTTCTTCATCTCCTGAACAGTCCAAAGGAGTCCATCAAAAAGGAAGCTTGTTGGACAATTTCCAATATTACAGCAGGAAACCGAGCACAAATACAGGTTAGTTTAATGTTTGATTTGATCAAACACAAAATATAACTGATCTTAGATGTATTTAAAGTAGTGTGGGCTTTGTATTATGATTCACTAATATATGATTTTTTTTTCCACCAGATGGTTATAGACGCGGGGCTACTATCTCCTCTTATCACTATTCTCCAAGTTGCAGAGTTTCGCACTCGAAAGGAGGCTGCCTGGGCCATCACTAATGCCACTTCTGGAGGCTCTGCTGACCAGATAAGGTAACATCTGATACATGCTCTCTTCATATAGTAGTTTAGATCAGATTTTCTTTTGATATCCCACATGGTACAATTTTCAATCCTTGTTTTTCCATCAAGATGATTATTTGATTGATTGATTGATTTTTTTTTTTTGGAATGTGTTCATTTTTCTAGACATTTAGTGGATCTTGGCTGCATTAAACCACTGTGTGATCTGCTCACACTAATGGATTCGAAAATTGTTCAAGTTGCTCTTAATGGCTTGGAGAACATCCTGCGCCTGGGAGAACTGGAAGCGAAGAGGGGAGGAGTCATCAACCCTTACTGTGAACTTGTTGAAAAGTCTTATGGTAAAAAGATTAGACTATATTTTAGATATATATGTATTTAAAATATTGTGGCACAGTCTGAAATATGGACATGCCTACCTGTTCAGTAATCATTGTATTCACTTAATGGTACTGTATTTTTAACATAAAACATAATATGTTAACTACATATAACATTTCTTATCAATATAAAACAGTGGCATTCTTAAATATTTCTTGGTAGTTTTCTGAAAATTGAATGCACTGCTTTGCCATTTTAGGTTTGGACAAACTGGAGTTTCTTCAGGGTCATGAGAACCAAGAGATCTATCAGAAAGCCTTTGACCTGATAGAGCGCTATTTCAACACTGACGATGAAGACCCGTCACTGGCCCCGACTGTGGATCTGCAGCAGCAGCAGTTTCTCTTCCAGCAGTGTGAAGCACCTATGGAAGGCTTTCAGCTATAATGCTAAATCCTCCACTTTCATCCTTTCTGCTAATTTGTCTCTGAGCCCCCTGCCATTTTCCAGGGCACTCAAAAATTCAGCCTCCTTCTATCAGAGATGCATCACACAACTCTAAAGATCATGGGAATTATGGAGTGTTCCATGTGGGTCCTGTTCTGCAGTCTTGTAACCAGTGTATGCAGGTTCATTCATTCATTCATATGTGGAGACGTCCTGTCTGAACTCTGGAAGCATCGTTTAAATTGTAGAGTCTACCGTAGCCCCGTAGTGACTGTGACACCTGGGCCTTCCCCTGAGCAGATGTGTGCTTCTTGGATCCTCAACTCCGCTGAAAAAACATCTTTGGTTCTTAAGGAATCATTTCTGTTAAACTTTAGTTTGATTGTGGGAGTCACTTGGACTTAACTACTTGTCTGTTTAAAGCATTAACAACTCATAAGACAAACACACAGACTCATTTTAATCTCCCTCTCAGCAGTGTGATCTCATTTTCAATACTGGACTGACACTGAGACACTGAACAAGTTTGACTGTGGTCATTTGACTGAAATATGACCAGTCCCAACCCATCTTCTCAAAGGACTTTAAAAAAGGCACTTAACAGCTTCATCGTTTTCAGCCATGGGATAAACTTTTAGACAAATTAAGAATTTGTGCCACTGAGGGGCAAATGGCCATTTGCTGCCTCTCATGGATCTCATATCATGCATTCCTTTATAAGTAGTAACTTTCAGCTGCTGTGGTCCATTCAAAGAGTTGACTGCTTCCTGTCACTCATTCGTGAAAAAGCCCATAGAATGGGAATTTGAGTCTTCCCTTGCACTGAGACAATTTGGACATACTTGGACAGAAGAGACTTAAACCGTGACATCTGTCAAGCAGTGGATCATGCTTTTTTAATCATTGTACCATCATTTCTTTTTCTGCACTTTAGTTCAGGGTGTATTTGCTTTGAGAAATTACCTTTTTTTTTTTACTATTTAATTGGTGGATTATATAGGCTCTCTCTTCTCAGGTTTAGAGAGGTGCAGTTCATGTTCCCTCTAGTATGAAAGGGATTACAGTATATTTTATTTACAATTCTTGCAAGAGGGGTTTCACTTTGTCAAGTAAAATTTGGCACACTACTTAACAATCATCAGGTTGCCTCTGCAATGCTAGAACAAGACTAAGTTTTATCTAAATTGGCAATTTCTGATAAAACACAATAGCATTCCGGTATTTTTGTTTATGCCAAATTAATACAGCCATTTCCAGAGTGTGATTTATATATTGTTTTATTAAATTGGTGTTAGCATCAGCTGTGTTGCTGATTGTGCCATATTACAAAGGAAATAACTGTGGTAAACATAAATGAATGTTTATTTTCAACACCCACTATGCTCACCTTTCTTTTGTTTAAATCTCCTAAGAGATTACCCACCCTTCATGTTCATTACTGTTAATTGTATTAAGTTTGTGCAACTGTTATGTCATTTGCATAAAAGCTGTTCCATCAACAATCTACGTGTGGTTTTATTTGAAATATGGGTTTTGTGTTTTCATGGGTCTGGGATCATGGCATCTTTGAAAATCTCTCACTTCATTGCATTTTGTATTTTGCCATTTGCCTTCCAAAATCCTCAAATGAGCATCCTTTGATAAAAAGTCAGGCGATACATCAGTTTCTCAGTTCACTTACCGAACAATTAATTACAGTTAAAATAACTAATTACTGCCATTTAGTTTAAAATCAAATCTAAGTACTGGAGGTGCAAACATTAAAGCCTTTGGGTCTAAGAACCATCACTGGGTTTTTGCCACTAATGCTTCCCTTTCTTTTCGTGCTTCTTCTCTCCATTTGGCTTTTTTCTCCAAATTCATACTTGTCAAAGACTCGTGTCTTTCTGCAGCCTGCAGAACAGAGGAATATAATATTTATTACATAATAAACTATATTTAAATGCGACAAATAAACAAATCTGTGCAACTATGTTTTTGTGACCCACCTGTTTGCCCATCATAATCGTCACAAAACAAGACCCCAACGTGAGAGCTATCATCACATAGCAGGCCATCACTCGGACTTTATTTTTTGCAGCATCAAGCATCTCAAAACTGTAACAGAAACAATCCATAAATAAACAGAAGGGGGGGACCAGGCACAAAATCAAGCATATCTGATATCTTGATAAATATTTGTTCATATATTCCCTTTTTAGTTTTTTTTTGGAGGTATTCCACGAAGCAAGCTAAGGTAACAGCCCAGTTTATTCGGGCAGTCCTGTTTTCCTCAGTTCCATTCCACCAAAGTGATTGGCCAGAGGCGGCGCTGAGTCGCTGTAGTAACAAGCACCTGGGCACAAACCTGGTCGGGATCAGGCTAACTGTCAAGATTATATTAGCTTTGTCTCCAAGAACGTATAAAGAAACAGTTTAGTCGTATGTTTCAGCACGTGCACTCACACACCTGTGTTAGAACACCTGTCTATGTTTGATGCAGTTTAAAAAGTGACTTTTATAGTCGTGTGCACCTTGACCAGCTTTAAACAGCTGTATGCTCCTGTGGGAGCTGAACTCATCAAAAAGTCACAAACCATATAAAAGCCTATGGCCATTAATTAAAAGTATCTTGCACATGTGTCTGTTGTGCAGGGTCATGCAGCTTTTACACACAAATGCTGGTTTTGGACTCTTGAGGATGGACTGGTTTTTAGTGGGTTCTGTATGTTCGCTCCAACATGTCCGTCTCTCTCTCGTCTGCCTCTCCTCATCTCTTGCTCCCTGTCAAACTGCAGACACGTCGGCACAGAATTGATCATTTCTTATTAGGCTACATGTGAAGAGTTCAGTTTTACTTTTACACACAGTGGAAGTTAAGCTCTACATGTACACCAGGAAGGGGTGAGAGGCAACTTCATTCTTCTGCCTGCATTAACCAGGCTCGGCACTCCGCAGCCTGCCTCCTCTCAGTCCACAGAGGAACGAGGGTCGCATCTCATTTCTCTTTCCTCACTTCCTTCTTCTTGATTCCTCTCCTCAATCCTCAGCTGTCAATGAAATGCACCATATTAAGTGGTGTCCCAAGGGGTCAGAGATTGTGTCGTGTCTTTCCTCCTCAGATCAGAATGACCACCGGAAAAGTTCCGTGTCCCAAATCTCGTGTCCATGCACACTGTGGCTCCTTGCGCGCGCACAAAGTGCAGCTTAAACTTCAGGCCTGAATTAGCTTTGGTCAAACTCAGGCTTATTTCTGTCATGGAAAGACTTTAGACTTAAACTGAAGATGGAGCTCTTTTCATCTTCAGGATTTTAGAATATGCCTGGACTTGTTAATCAACTTTGATGGAAAACCCCCATATCATACAAATAATTTCTTATGAATTAATAAAAGCAGTGGTCGCATCAAAAATTAATAGGATTATTGTAAATTTTATTTTGGACATATTATTGTTGAGAGATTGTTAACTACTGGTAAGGGGCTACTTCTCGCACAAAGCACACAAGATCTTGTTCCACCCCCAATTAACAGAGTTTGAGTTTTTTACCATAATGTTCACAGTACTCATAATTCGATTCACCCTGGTAACAGAGACCTGTACTATGACAATTCAATTCATTGTCTTAGCTTTAGATCAAGGGACATCCACATCTTGACATCAGCCAGGCAGCCTCAACTACAGCATTACCCCCTTTGAACTGTGATTGGTACTAACTGCAGAAACAGATGCCTCTGTCTGTATGACGTGATGACAAAATAGGCCTGATACAAACAGAAAAATAGTTCTGACCTTATAGTCTCTGGGATCTGCTCAGGAGATTTAAACCGTCCAGCCCAGAGCAAAATCTTCTTGTCCCAATTAGAGGGTCTGTGGCCAGGGATTTTGAAGACATGAGCTGCTAATAGAGCAAAGACAGTATTTTTATAAGTGTAATAAACAAGTCAGCAGTAGGATTATTATTATTATTTAAGATTTTAGTTATTTGAGTATGTCCAACAAGGTAACAAATGTATTTACCTTCTGCTGCAGGAGGGGCTGGGGCAGATTCAGCCTTTACCTCTTGGGGTTTGTTACACATGTTTCTGCTGCATATTTTGTTTAATATTCTTGCTCTTGGACCTAACCACACATGGAAAGCTCAGTTAATCATAAGCAATACAAGGGCTGTAGTCCATTAGTTATAACTCATCAATGCTGTATTGCTGTTCTTCAGGCGACATCACAACATCCTATAGCGCAATATTATTTAATACAGATGAAGAGCAGCGAAAATGAATATTGGTATGCAGAATGCACATATTGTACATATTTTTATTTGTGCGAGATCCTAAACATTTTGAAGGATTTGGTAAGTGCCACGCCCCTCTTTTCATTACCTGCATCACAGGACAACTCTTTACTCAGCCAATTTCTTTAGTCCACTTAACTTAAAATAAGCATAATCTTCCATTCATTTCCAGTGTTCATGTTAACATTTTAGTATTAATTATGTTATAAAGTTACGTGAACAAGAAATCAGATATGCATTTTAATACCAACGTCATCAAATGCCACCGCTGTGATTAGCTACTAGCTAGTCTATGATTAATTTGAAAGCTGCTTAATCAAATAATATTAGCCAAGCTCTAATATAAGCTAAGTGAACTCAAGAGCCTACGTAACAGAAAGTACAACGAAAGAGTCGGGTGTCAACTGACAAAATAACGATAACCTGTGCAGCATACTAACCTAACCATCTTCCGATTCCGATTGTTGATGTAAAGAAACTCATCGTGACTCAACAAATTCGAGCAAACTAAAATACCATGTCAGTCGGTTCACTTTCGACAACTACAATGTCAACCAGCTCCGCTCCTTCCCCACCAAATGATCTTCAGTTATATGACAGGAATTTTTTTATTTTTTATTTTCCTAGAGATCCGGTTATTTGCCTGAGTAAAATTACACTAAATACTGGTTATACTGGTTCGTTTTGTCTAAATTCCTTCATTTTCTAACACAGCTAAAATATGATCTTTCATATTTAGATTTTAAAGGCACCAGTGTCTTTATAACTTCTTTTTACAACGTCTTTATATTTACTCCTCGCGCGTTCTAATGCGGCCTCGGTTAAACCGGCCTCACGCGCTGTTCCTCTGGAGGACCCCACAGTCCATTATGGCAGCGCCCGATGCAGTCTTAAACTGTGAGGACTTTTCAATGTTTCAGGTAAATTACAACTCATAAAATGGATATGCAATACAAATTAAAGCTTTTTTATTCATGCACCAGGGAAGGTAAATTGCTTTTTCGTTTATTTCTCTGCACTGATCGTATCCTCTCCTGGACTTCTCCATTGCTGGTATGGCAGCCCTGTTTGCTCAGACAAGGTTCAATGGGATAACCACAGCTGTATATATTACATAAGCTGCTCCTCTCCGAGTGAAGCTGTGGTTCTTCTGAAAGTCATAACTTTACAACTTTTAAATAGTATATACATATTTTTAGGATGTAAAACTTGTACCAAACTGTTTGCACACTTGTACACACACACACACACACACACACACACACACACACACACACACACACACACACACACACACACACACACACACACACACACACACACACTTACACACACACACACACACACTTAAACACACTTAAACACACACACACTTAAACACACTTAAACACACACACACTTAAACACACTTAAACACACACACACTTAAACACACTTAAACACACACACACTTAAACACACTTAAACACACACACACACACTTAAACACACTTAAACACACACACACACTTAAACACACACACTTACACACACACACTTACACACACACACACACACACACTTAAACACACACACTTAAACACACACACTTAAACACACACACACTTAACACACACACACACTTAAACACACACACACACACTTAAACACACACACACACACACACACACTTAAACACACACACACTTAAACACACACACACTTAACACACACACACACACACACACACACACACACACACACACTTAACACACACACACACACTTAAACACACACACTTAAACACACACACTTAAACACACACACACACACACACACACACTTAAACACACACACACACACACACTTAAACACACACACACACACACACACTTACACACACACACACCTACACACACCTACACACTTACTCACACACCTGCCCTCTCTTTTACGTCAAGAAATGATTAAATAAAATCTATGCAGTTAAACCTAATATTGTCTTTCCTGTTATGCAGGAGGTGCTGAAGGTGATGCGCACCATAGATGACCGCATAGTCCATGCCCTGAACACCACTGTGCCCACTGTGTCCTTCTCTGGGAAAGTTGATGCCACACAAACATGTAAACAGCTCTATGAATCAGTAAGTGTGTGTGTTGTTGTAGGGCCACTCAGATCACACACACAATTGACATACCGACAAATGTTGTGTTGCAGATGATGGAGGCCCATTTAAGTCGCGACAGAGCCATTAAGACCTGTATAGCCCAAACGTCTGAAATTGTGGGGCAACTGCGGGAGGCACGGTCAAAAGACGGGGACAACATGACCCTTTTAAAACAACTTAGAAAGGAGCAGACCAAAGTAATCCTGTCTCTTTTTTATTGGGTGTTTCCCAATTGCCAGGATCCTTGCCTTCTGAACCACTTTGGACAGAGCTACATCATTGGAGCTCTGCCAAGTGGTGTTTTAATTCCCGTAAAGCCATCACATCCTTCACGCTCGACTCCTCCATTTGTCTTGTTTACGAAGGATGCACAGATCCTTGGGCACCGCGGAGCACTTGAAATTGCCCACAATGCACTGCAACATCATTTTTTACAAACTTTATTTAAGCAGTAAAATGCATTTTAATAAAATAAAACTCATTCTACAATAAAAACTAAGTAAATATTCAGTTATTTTAGCCACATTGCTACAAATAACACTATTATCTCTTCGAAATAATTAAAATCAGGATCAAATGTCGCAAAATCTCTTAAAGAAGGGAACTGGGAATACAATTAACCGGATGCGTCCTGGGTGCCTCCCTCGGGAGATGTTCTAGGCATGTCCCACCGGAAGGAGGCCCCGGGGATGACCCAAGATATGCTGGAGGGACTGTCTCTTGCCTGGCCTGGGAATGCCTTGGGGTCCCCGAGAAGAGCTAGAGGAAGTGGAGGGTGAAGAAAGTCTGGGTGTCCCTGCTTAGACTGCTGTCCCCTGTGACCCAGCCCCGGATAAGTGGAAGAAAATGGATGGACACATAAAAACACTTCTGAACACTTTGTAGAAGCATTGATGTTTATTAAAACTCAAGAGCTTTATCACTTTTGATTTGATCACTTGACACGTGGCAGTCGCTCCCTCTGGAGCCTGTTCCAAGTGCTCTTCCAGGAGCTGTGAGCAGGACACTTGGCTCTGCTACAGAGGTGCCAACTCTGGAGTAGTGCTAAAAACTGGTCTTTGGAAGACGGATCTTGGGAATTGAGAAACACCCATTGTCTTGTTTAAAAATGTACACCACTTCTCCAGGCCTAATAACTTTTCTCTTTGACAGCTAAAGCTGATGCAGTCTGAACTTAATGTTGAGGAAGTCGTTAATGACAGAAGTCTGAAGGTTTGTCAGCTGTTTATATTTTATTTTTGTAAAGTTAGTCAGTTTGTTGTGAATGTTTGTTGTGTTTTATACCTAGGTCTTTACTGAAAGGTGCAGAATCCACTATACACCTCCTAAGGTTGTATGAGCCAGTGACCAGGAACCTGAGCGGGGATCTGAATCATGACTGGAGCAGAGTCCTGATGCAGGCCATTCACATCCAGGACACTCTGACCTCTAACAGATATATTCCACTGTTATTGTTGTCATGCATTTACATTGCTGTTAAGACAGTCCTCTGTGTGCTCATTTCTGGAGAGACATTGTATAAATGCATAGCTTTTTTTTAAGATAATGAAATATTTCTATCAGAAACACCGTCTTTGTGCCCGGTTTGTTACTCAAGGTCAAATATGTACAGCATGAGGGTGCTCTCACCTCACAGCAAGAAGGTCCTGGGTTTGATTCCTGGACTGGAGGGCCTGTCTGACTATTATGTTAAATGGAGTTTGCATGATCTCTTCATGTCTGCAGTATATCACAAAATTATCAGTTGAAATGGTACCTCTGAAACCTACTCTACAGTACTAGTGACAATAGGGCTTTCTGTTTTTGTTAATTAAAATGTTAAAGAGTCACAATTTAACAATTATTTTCTTTATTTAGAAGTGCAAATATAGCTTTGTTTTGGTTTTAGTTATATTTTCCAGCAGGTGATGATCATGCAGCAATATTAGGTGGGTTTACCTCAAGTCTCCACATGAACCCAAAGATGGGTGCTCAAGCTGCTCTTTGCTTCTGTGAGCATGCTCCGTTGAAGACACTGGTCAAATGCAGAGAACAGGGCAAAAAGTTTACTTTACACAAGGCACAAAAATCCCACATTTTGAACATGACATTGACTTATTTAGTCCTTGGGCCACGGGACAATATAGTCCAGTTTTGGTATGCAAAGGTGATGATAATAAATAATAATAAAAAAACAAAACAAAACAAAAACTCAGTCGTATAGTATATGCAATGTGTTTATCTAACACTAGAGGGGGCTGCTTGTTTATGGAATATTCCTCCCAAATGCGTGAGTCATCATCACGTGTAGTTTGAGGGGTTTGTCCAAGGAAGTCAACTCTTAATAAGCATTTTCTAAAACATTTTCAGCATATATGCTCATAATATACTCTGTATAAGTAAATAAGATTCGTCTTATAAGCATAAACCTTTCCATTATTCAGGTTTTGACCCTAGCAATGTATATTCAAATTCCAAATGTATTTTTATAATGATGCAGTTTCCTTATTTGAGAATTTTAGTAAGTATGCTACAAAAATGTCATACCTTCACCTTTATTTATTATTTATTCTTCCCTAGCATTGACATATCAAGCCCAAACATTGTACAGTGCTTATGCAACAGCAAAGCAGAACCAAAGTTTGTGCTCTTCTCCCTGACTCCCACTATTGATAACTCATACAAAAGACTGATTGCCTGTCACTGTGTTTGGTTTAGGGCTTGTACGTTGTGAAATAGGAGCATAGTTAACGTATGTGCAGGCATTGAGATGGTAGGTGTGGTGACATATTGTCAGCACATCTTTCCATAGAAAGCTGTTCAAACTTGTGCTCATGGCTAGATTTGAGGCTGTGGATTGTAGAATGCATTTTGTCAATTGTCATCTTTTAAGATTGTTTCCCTTTCTTAGTTGCCCTATCACAGAACTAGACAGAACTGGACAATAAAAAAAAAAAAAAAAATTGTAAAATGTAAAAAATCTTAATCATCATCAATATTTAAATTGCATATGACAGGTTAGACTATTAATTTCTCTAAAACATAGTTAACGTCATTGTATTTAAGATTTTATTAAAACCCTTGTCTGCTCTTTTTTAGTGTTTTGTAATTTTGCTGAAGCATTTAATTTTACTTTCTGGTTGGACACAAGCAGTAGATGTAACATACATAGGGTTACTTAGAAAAGAGCCAAAACATGTCTAAATTACACAAGTGTTATGAGTTGACAATTGTAAATGAATGACAACACCTTTTTTATTACATCAGATCATAAACTTGTGAATAAATTGTCCCTGCATTTTGAATGGAATTGATGACAGCTGATGATATAGGCAGAGAGATTCTTTTTTTAGAACTCACCATTTCACTCCTGTATTTTTCAGCTTTTCATTTTCTGCTTTTCTTCTCAAACTGACCACTTAACTCATGTAAAACTACCAAAGGTACTATCCCACCAAACCAAATCCTAATCATAAAAATATATGAATCTGTCAAATGCACTTTGAATGAAAAAAAGTGGACTGAAACTAAGATTTTTTTTAAAGTGCTGTGCCCTTGGATTATGTATCAGAAAGTGTGACAAATCTAGTAACCAAATGCTCATATGATTGAAGCATGATTAAAAAAGAGGAACAGTGTAGTCATTTAAATCCTGCTGAGTGGCAACAAGACCATTGTCTAGACTCAAGTCCATCTGTCAAGTCATCTGTTACACCTAAGTTACCTGCCCCAGCAGGATAGATGTCACCACTTTTACACTAGTGAGGTGTGTACAAAAGCCAGAGCCACAGCCCTGGACCCCTGCTTTGTCTTAGATAACTCTGTAGATGTGTACTGTCCAAAGAAATTGTATAAGACTAATGTAGGATTGTGTATATCAGTGATTCATCTATTCCTCTTAATAAATTGGTTTGCTCAGCAGACTCTCACCAAGAATACAACCAAAAACAATTTCAGAAAAGCTAAATGACCTTTTAACAAATGGCAAATATGCTCCTGGACTTTTGTCTGCTTAACGCACTGTTATGGATGTTATTACTGCAAAATGATCTGCACAAGTAACCATCAGATGTTGTTTTAACTATTCCAGGTTTCTTCAAAAGGATTAGGAGGTAATGTTTTATTATTTTCATAGATTTTTTTTAGGTTATTTTAAGGGTTTTAACCCCTTCCCAGTGGCCTATATCCGCATAATTACACTTGAGTTTCCATAAGCTCTTAGCTCATTTCTATACCTGAGATAGAGTCCGTGTGGACTATGCACAGGCTGAATAATACAGCATTTATATGTACTTCTAAGAAAATTTGCAAAACATGTCTTCAGGCTCAAAATGGCACTTTGTAAGCCAAATAGTCTCAATAATGTTCCATTTTAATTACTAGCACTGGTTTCAAACCAATGGACATACTGTCTAGTCTATCATTATTAATCAATTTAGTTAAAGCTAGCATTGTGCTAACTGTGCTTTCTTAAGTTCAAAGCACTATGTGAATGGGTTGCTAATGAATTATTACAATTATTATTAGTAAAAAGTCAGACACAATAACAAGAGATTTATGAAATAACAACGTATCTTTAATGATGCTTGTACAAAATACGTGATCATTTTGTAACAATTAGCTACAGACTATTTCTTTATCATAGAATAAAACTGGATAACATTTTTTTGTGTGTTTTGTGGCAGCCTACAGGCACATATGGGATATTCATAGTGGAGAATCTTTTAGAAATACTCAATGGGATCATGGTGACTCTTTGACTCCTGAAGACCATGGACCTCCAGTGCACCTCCGGTGTGAGGAAGCCCTCTGTGGACACGAACATGGACATGGTCTTCATCTGAAACTTGGATCTAAAGATAAATGAAATTAGATTCAACGACCAAGAACAGTGCTTTTCCAGCAACAGATTATTGAAACACACTTACCTTGATAAAGTAGTTGGTTCCAGCTACAACCTGGGTTGTGTAAGCTTTGGCCTGGAACGAATCATATTTTTTTCCTGCTTTCTCCTCCACCTGACTCCTCACCTGAAAAATAATGAATAATAGTTTAAATACAAATCATCAGCCCCAAAAGCATTTTGATTTCCAAAAGTACAATAACAGTAGAATAGATGCACCAAAGCAAACACTGTTCAGCTACTTACAGCATCTGCAATGTCCTGAATCTTTTGGTCCGCTGGTTTCACCTCACTTGTTCCTCCACACTTCATCATTTTGTCAGATTTGGCTGTAGGATACTAAGCAAAGAAAAATATCTGAGTGCGCTTCCGTGAGGTCAGCAATGCTTTTGAGTATGTGAGTCATGTGACCGTGTTTTGTGGCGCGTACCATTATTGAAGGGGCGCACTTTTTGATGGGGTTTTATTAGACTAGAGCAATGTCAACAGTGATCCAGATACAATCAACACGCACAATAAAAACAACATATAAATAATGGTTAATGCAGAATTTTGGTAAAAATTATTTGTAACTGTACCGTTCTGACTCCTAGAAGTGGATTAGTCTGGGGCGTGGTTTGGGCACTCTCAAGATTTCACTCATGGATCTAGTTTCGATCATAAGCAGGTTCAACTGCGTCGGTTGTGATTTGGAGTGTGTGGAGTGTACGTACCCACACATACCCACTGTACAACAGACAAGACAACATACAAGTAAAATACACAGAAATTCGACTACAGATTATTCCCATGAATAATATTAAAGCGATTGGAAATTATTCTGCCACAGTTGATCTATAAAGATCATTGAGGGTTTACGCAGAGCCAGGATAGCATCGAGAGTTCTGCACATAATGCAACAGGCTGACACAAAATTGCAGGGTAAAGTTAGTATTAAGTAAGATGAACACTTAACAAATATTTACCAAATACGCTGATTATGGCCTTAAAATATGTCAGAGAGTAGCACTTGCACATTTAAGACGGTGCTTCAGAGGTCACCTCCAATGATGACAGGTTCAGTTTGGGTTTAAGGATTAACTGACTATAATTCATTTGTCCACAAGGGGGCATTCCAAACATTTGACACTTTGAAACAAAAGCATGGGTTGGGCTCTTAAGATTTCTTGATACCTGCAAACCAGGCAGCATTTCATGGTTTCTTACAAATGTCACTAATAAAATCATTATCTCCCACAAAAAGTATTTCGAAATGACATAATGGTATCGTGTTGGGTAAAGAGGCGAGCACATATTATGTGGAGGAGAAGTGGAAAAGAGAGGAAAAGTTTACTATCACGGAGGAGAGCTGGGAGAACATACTGCATATGTACAAATACAGTGAGTCTCGACCAAAAACTTTCTCGACAGGGCGTGAATTCTGATGAAAAAACAAAATGCAATTTTTCATTATAGACTAGGAGTATTTTCACAGAAGAGAAGTCCTAACGGCAAATTTGAGGAAAAGTCGGTAAACCTTTTTTTTTTTTTTTAAGTTCTAAGCCTTCTAATTTGCATATTATATATATATATATATATATATATATATATATATATATATATATATATATATATATATATATATATATATATATATATATATATATATATATCACCCGTGATATTATTCTGCACTTTGCAATATGCAACCTGCTTTTTCAATAATATTAAGGTAGATAATACAGGATTATGCTTCAATAAAAATGTTGTAATTTAATTGTAATAAAATTAGGCCACTGGAAATGTATCACAGTTACACTGATGTTGCTTTAAATTCTTGTTACATCGACCATATCTTACACATGTATAACACAATGACTAAAAAAGAGTTGGCATATAAAAAGTTGGAATAAAATATAAGCTGCCTCAAAGAGTTCAAAGTCTATATCTAAGGGAAGAAAATAAAATATCTTAAGAACCATAATAGCACAAACTAAACTTTTTAGAGCACAAAACAGCACAAACGGAGCACAAACGATTGGCACAATTTTAGGCCGTTTTATAGCATTTTAAAGCTTCCTAGGGGCAAGCTAACCCCAATCTGACCTATAAAAGAATCGTTTATATCTCAAAAACTAAAGAAACACAAACGAAACTTTTTGCAGCACAAACCAGCACAGACGAAGCACACATGATTGACATAGATTTTGTGTAGGTGTGCGTTTGATGGCGGCCCAACTTCACGGGGGTTCCGGATGGTGCCTCGCACCTGGGGATCTGGACGGAGTTGGCCCGGTCGCATCCTTTTGCTCTTGCATCCTTTGCCCGCCTCAGGTCCACCTTTTTTTTTTTTTTTTTTTTTTTTTCTTTTTTAAAGTAAATTACTTAACATAATTGAAAAAAAACACACAAACTTTTGTAACAATATTGACTCCTGTGTCCTGTGTCTCCTTTTGACTGAAAAAGCATCAACAACAGAACTATTTTCTATAGCCTGCTTACTCATATAACTGCTAGTTTTTGGTAAGTCTCACCTGCATTTCTTCTTAGTTCAATAGATTTGATTAGTTTACAAAACTGTATTTTATAATAGAAGTTACACACAATAAATTAGCATAATGCTAAATCGAGTCCAGTGTTTCAGTTGCCAAACGTCTTTCTGAATGACATACCGTTGGGGATCCTGAGTAAACAACCTGAGGATGGCAGCACCGCATTCTTGATAACAAGTGGAAGTGCATTATTACAGAGGAAGACATGGCGCTGACCTCGCGTCGCCTCTCTTGGTTGAGATGACTCTCTGCGGTGCTCGGGAGTGCTCGGTGCGCTCTGTCCTTCTCATGATGTTCACATACACGATATCACGAAGTCTCTGCCAGGCTTTTACTGAGGTGAACCGCAGAGCTTACCCGACACTGAGTCCATTTTTCCGGACTTGTCCGTCAACTCCTCCTACAAGATGTGGAGATACGAATGACAGTGGTAAATATTTCCTAGCTTTATGTCACCGTAGGCGTTTAGGCCAATATAAATAGAAAGTGCAGTGAACATTTGAACAAAGGAGACAATTTAATGTATAATTCAACATTATTAGATTGGCACGGTGGCTGAAGGGCTAGCACTCATTCCTCACAGCGAGAAGGTTCCGGGTTCGATCCCCGGTTCTGTGTGGAGTTGGCGTGTTTCTCCCCGTGTTTGGATAGGTTCCCTCCGCTGTTTCCCCCATCGCCCCAAAACAGGCTGCATAGGTCTCCAGGAAGAAAAGTTAAGGTCAATGAAATACAATCACTCAATGAACCTGCCCAGGGACTACTACCTGGTACAATGCATTTCTCCTGTTAAGGTTAATCTGTCTGATTAAATAAAATAAATAAAATATTAGATAGATATAATACTTTATAATCTCGAAAGAAATTGTGAGTGTGATCAGTGATAGGGTGACCAGATTTTCAAAATCAAAAACTGGGACATCCCCGGTTTGAGGTGGTTGATAATAACAAAATTGTGAAACAAGTGCGTAATTAAGGGAAATTGTTATGCACTCGGCCCATTCATTACTAACATGTGAGTCTGTATAGTCTCATTTTCTTTGTTCTTTAGTGATTTTAAGCAGCTTTTCTGTATTCTATCTAAACAATGGCAATTAATGCAGGTATCAAATTGCTTAAAAATAGGAACACCAGGGAGATTTATTAAATAAAACTCAAATCAATGGTTTTGGATAAATCTGCTGGGACACGGGACTCAGGTCTTAAAATTGAGACTATGCGGGGTAAATAAGGACATCTGATCACCCTAATCAGTGATAATCTCTAAGTCTATAAATTAATAGGAGTAGTTAAAGGGTGTGTTAACATTTGCAACCTTTGGTCCAAGCTTTTGGACTTTATTAGCTTCCCGGTTTGGTCCAAAGTACAAGTTTTTGGTTCGGGGAAAGGTAGCAGTTTTGTTCCAGATCGAGGTCTAATCCTGCTGTGCAGCGTGAATGTGAAGATTCGGATTTTTGGACCAAATCTAGGAGGTGACATACGTTCAATCACTTTGTTTGATTTATATTATCTATATGTCGTGTGCTTTAAATCCAATCAAAAAAAAAATGTAAAAATTGAAATTACATATATCCATGTAATCTATTTGTATTGACATGTGCTTGTGCAAAACTGGGGTCTGGTTTGAGGTGTGAATCAGCCCTAATATGCATCAGTGATTTACTTCCCTAGTAGTCTCCCTACCCAGCATGTTAATCGCTCAAAATGTGGGTCTGAATGAATGGATGCTGCCATCCCAGTGTTCACCTTCTCCTTTGTCTAATTTTAGTTGAGTGTGACATTTTTGCTTTGGACATAACAATGCTCTGTTACTACAGTGTCAGTGTAGGCCTACCCAAGTAGCAGCTTCTTTAGGGACGATATATATAGTCACTGTAACAATGGATGGTGAGTATGAAGAATTATGGGTATTGAGGCAACAGTTAAATTATGTGTTTTATAATATTTGATGTTTTCTTTCTTCTCAGTGGTCACTGTTGCCCAGCTCAAGTCCATGTTGACCAGCAAGAATGTCCAGCTGTTTGATGTGAGAAGACCTGATGAGTTCCAAGCTGGACACATCCCAACTGCTGTGAACATACCATGTAGGTTTAACCATATGACATTGAACTGGTATAAACAGAGAAATAACAGGCATGCTATTATGGTGGTGCAGGTCACAAGTTTCATTCTCATACTGTGGAAGGGCGGTTTCAATAATCATATGATGTGTTTGTGTGTGTGTCTGATGAGCCGACCTGTATGTTTTCAGTGGATGGCCTGGAGGTATCACTGAATCTGCCCTCAGAAAAGTTTGAGCAGACATTTCATGTGAAGGCACCTGCTAAAGAAGATGACAACATCGTGTTTAGCTGCAGAAGTGGAGTAAGGAGTGGCCAAGCCCTGGACATTGCTCGTCATCTTGGATTCTCTAAGTAATGATTTTTCACTACATGACAAACACAAAGTTATTTTTTAATTGGAATAACCTTCTGTTGTGATTGTATTGTTAAAGGTATTTATTTTCTTTTAGGGCCAGGCATCTTCAGGGTGGCTATCTTGAGTGGGAAGCGGAAGCAAAAGAAAAATCCAGCTAGGCGATGAAAAAAATAAATTAAAACTATGAATTCCAGCACTGTTTGAATTCAGTTTAATATATAATGGTAACTGTTTAATAAACGTACCTCTTTTATGATGCCTTTGCTGTTTCACTCATTGGCCAATAGATGGCAACAAGTTTCAACAAACAAACAGTTCCCCTTTCTCTTCTATCATTGCTGCGGTGCCCTTTGTGTTGAGACCTTCAGTTAGTCTAGACAGCTGTAGCACCTCAGAGTAGCTGTCAAGGTGCAATTTACACAGTCATCCTTTTCAATAAAACGCTAACTCCTATCTCTTCACCTTCTCATCAATTTGTCCCTCTAATCCATAGTCAGAACAACGTGTACGTGTAGTGTGTGACCTGCCTGCTGTCATTGGACTGAAAAGTGGGTGAATTTTCAACATAGGCTCATCTTTGACGTATGGCATTTTAAATGATCTTTCCCACTGACCATGAAAGAGGACTTGGGCAACCGCTCTATCTCAGAAACTTAGTGTGTGGACCCATATGTCAACCAAGCACCATAAATCAGCAACTCAGCCAGGCTAGGCTCCTGCAGAAAATATTACACACTTGCAGGAGCTGCCATTCACGTGGCATGGGGCGTTAAGATTGATGTCCCCAACATTGCACAGTGAACAGAAATGAGAAAAGTGGAGAGGGAAATTTTCAGACGTGGTTTGAATCGCTCAACATGTGATAGGAAATCCAAAGTGTTATGGATGTCACACCATCATTGTGAAGTAAAGAGGAGCTATGAATTTATGGATTCAAGTTATGATTCCTTGCACTGCCTAGATATCCCGTGTAGGTTCAGAGAAGGATTGCTCAAAACTTCTAATGAGCTCCAAGGACACATGGACTCTTATCTCCTCCAAATAATGCAATATCCTGTAAATATATTAATACACAAGCAAGTAAGAGCCCACATTACTGCTCTGCATTTTGCTCATAAAATATTGCAATGGGAATTCTTGCAGTATGGCATGTTTATTCATAACAAAACTTATTTTTACACGTTCAAAATGTTTCAAAGAGCAATGAGCAAAACAACAAATTAGCTTCTTTTGCTTGTCTGGGACAGATTATATTAGTTTGGCTCATAGATTGTGCCCCAAGGTTTATTACACACCAATCTGCAAAATGTTATGTTTGTTAGTAAAACTGGAGATACTAAAAGACAATGGTGTGATATTTTGCATTAAAATGTCCTCCTATGCCTAAATTGCCCTAATTTTACAGGTTATCTCATGAGACTGTTTTAAAGGCCAGCACTGGCTATTTTTATGCTTATGTCACTCCCAGGAAAACATGACCCAGACTAGTTCAGGGTCACAACAAGAAACAAAGCTCTTGGGGCAAATTCAACCCAGTTCTGGCAATATGGCACAAATTAGCATGCAGTTAATTATAAAATACACATTGTTACCTAAGGCGCGTATCTGGAGGGAGACACATGACGCACTCTCCGTACGCGCGCGTTTCCCGTGAGGCACAATGAGAAAGTGAGAAGGCGCGGGTCGATCTCTGACGGAGCAGTGAGCATCCTCCATTCACTCCAGTCTGCGCGCAATGGCACCGTGCGCTCTGCCTGAAAATGCTGCTCCTCGCGCACTCCAGGAGCTCTTTACCGGACTACGAGACCGGACAACTTTTTTCACTGCGCGGATGTTGTTTTTTCTCAATGGCTTCTAATGAATTCTCCTCAACGTTACAGTAACAGGTAAGAGGACAAGTTTACTTTCGTTTTACTAAACCCACAATGAACCCACGTTTTACCACATTTTCCATTTCAGTCAAACTCATGTGTTCTTCACATCACTTTGCGCTGTAATCTGAGAATAAAATAGGATATGGAACTAATTATGCCTTTCTTGACTCATCTATGACCTCGTTATCTTTTGAAACGTGATTTTGACGTGATAATGACTCATCCCTGTCGCCTGGTTTAAATTAATTTGATAATTAGGGCTGGGTATCTAAATTGTGTGTCGCTCTGATCCAACTGAAGATAACGAATTAAACTGAAAAGTCAATCAATTAGTCTGCAGCAAGTTAATGTGTATTCATTGAAGCGTAATAACCAGGTAATTGCTCTTAATTCGCGTAGGTAAATAGTTGGATATGTGTATATATATTAGCACATTTAGTTTCAGAACTACTGAAATTGTCTTATGTTGTATACTGTACTGTACAGTTCAGTGGAATCCTGAAACTATACTCTAGTCTGCGCGTGCATGTACTTAACGTGCACGTAATGGCTTGCCACAAAACGGAGAGCTGATGCACATTGACATTGACATTGAGGGGGCAGGATCAGGTGGTGGTTTCATATGAGAAGGTGATTTGGTGAAGAAAAAGAAGGGAATGAGGATTTGCAGTCAGCCCAGATCAGGAGTCACGTGTGAAGGCATCAGTTGAGAGATGGGCTTTTCAATGCCCACACCTCCACTGAGTAATAATTTGCATTTCATTCAACCTACCTGTCAACTGTAATCATTTAATAAACTGCTGGTGCTGCCCCATTAGGAGATTTCAAGGTGGTTGGTATCAGTGGCCCGTTTTCTTTTACTTCCCCACATTTTTCCTCTATCATTTGATACTGCAGCCATTGAGGAACCGCGTGGAACTATACACTCAGAAAATCTTTAAAAAGACTCCCAGGGCAGTGCGAGATCTAAAAACAATCTGAGTTTCATTGTGCGTGTCCCTATTTCTGTCCTATATATAACCATGAATGGAGAAGACATGGGGCAAGGCTAAGATGGATCAGTTTGTTTACCATCTAGAGACACAGGTGGGAACAACAGCATCACTATTTGGATGTAGGCCAGATTGGGAGGCTTGGGAATTAATGAGAGGAAGGATGAAGTGCAAGAAGCAGAGCCTGGGACCACAGCCAATCGCACCTCTCGGTATGGCAGCGTGGACTTATTACCCCTCCCCAATGAACTAACCCAGGAGCATCACACCACCAGCCCCTATTAAACTTATCTTACTTCTCTTTCAGTCTATCTTGAGATGGTCTAAAAGGCATTTACCTGATGCAGATATACAAAGTTAAAGGTCTTCCAGGAACACAGTGGTGCACTTAAGGGGTTGCTTATATAGCTTCATACACATTCAAATTTTTTATTGGAAGCATCTAACTTAAAAATGCTTTGGAAAATAGTTTTGCTTTATTTTAGTACCTATATGAAGACACTGGAAACTGCAGAAGGATGCAGTGGTACGGCTCATGTGGCTACTGTTGCTAGGAGCTCATCCCAGAAGACTTGTGACCTGAAATATAGAAGCTTGCTATGTTTTCTTTAGTGGCTAACATGCCTCACTTTAATTTGACTACAGAATTATTGCCAAGATGATTAATTGGAAAACAACACATTCATTCTTTCACCTTTCATTGATAGGTCTGCCAAGCGTCTCACCTCCCATGTCACCGGGACGTCTCCATGGCGATGTTTAGCAGTGCAGAGCGGATTTGGAACGAGTCGGAGCACCTGGGATGGGACGGGGGGAATGAGAGCGTGGCCACAGCAGGACAGGAGGACAACCAGAGGAACTACTACGCCATGCTCTACTCGCTGCTCATTCTAGCCATTGTGTTTGGAAATGTGCTGGTGTGCCTGGCTGTGCTGAGAGAGAGGTCGCTACAGACTACCACAAACTACCTGGTGGTCAGTCTGGCTGTGGCCGATTTGCTGGTGGCCTCATTGGTCATGCCCTGGGCTGTGTACCTGGAGGTGAGTGACAATGAAATTAATACAATTAAGGGAGTGTTGTATGTGTTTAGTCTAAAATATATGTACATATTAGAGCTATGTTAGGTTTGGTCAGGTTATGTGCCATTTGTAGTTAAACCACATTGGAGTAACAGGTGCAAAAAGGTCAACGTGCACCATGACAAACAACTACATAAACAATCAATAGACAATCATTATAGATAACATATGACACTGTGAAATAAACAAGCTACAAAGATAGCCATCATATTAAGGTGCTACATCAAAGTTGTGAAGAGTGCCACCACTTTTTCAGTTCAAGTAAGAAAATAAAAAATTTTTTCAACAAGGGCCAGTAATAACAGAGGCTTTAACCAGTTTAAATCAGACAAATAATACACAAAACTTCTGACATTGTAAAATAGAATTCTTTGCAGTCCTGTATCTTAATTTTAAACTATGGTATACTTAGACTCGTATTTCACACAGACACAACCCGTTGAGATATTTGAATCTTGTTAATGAACACTTAGTTAAGGTTCAACAGTTCTTTGATTTTAACTTACTTTGCTAGCTCTTTAACATACTTTGCTACCCATGTGAAAGTCAGGCATTACACAACCAATATATAGTAATTAAATTTATCTCAGAATGATGGATGGTGACAGTATGGGTCTATCTGATTTCCCAATATTGTTAAAGTGTAACATCTTTTTTGTTATTGTGTTATAGTTGTTTTCCCTTCTCTTCTCATTTCTCCTCTGTAAGTTGTATTTGGAGTGATTTGTGCATGTTTGAGCAATCTTTAATCGCCATATTGCTGATCAGTTTTCACTGCCACAGTTATATGCTCATTGCTATGTTCTTACTTCATTCTCCAATTTTATTCTCTTAATCGGTGATATGCATAAGATACAACAGATTGTAACTATATAGCAGGCTCAAGCACAGTATGTCTTCTTTAAAGTGTAGCTTGTATTGGGCCATCCATGCTACAGTGCCTTTTAGTTTTCAGAATAAATACTGAAACATGTGAGTGTAAAACCAAATGCCAAAAGAGATACACTGATAGCTACACACTAAAAGGGAGAAAAGAAAATGTTACTGTGCATTAGGCCTAAATCCAACTCCAATCATGAAACAGGATTATGAGTATTCCCACTGACTCCAAAACTTGTGAAATTTGCTTTCCTTTCCACATCATAATGAAGTGACTGCTGAAATAGTCCTGGGACAATAGCGTGTTAAAAGTTTGATCAGTGCACTATGCGTGGAGGAAAGTGTTACGTAAATGCA